CACGATAAGGAAACGATTAAGCCGCCACACGATCTCGAGCCTTCGCCTTCCCCCTCCCAGCCCCCCTCTCTCACACACACAAAACAAAAGAACGAAAAAGACAATCAAGCCACACACACCAAAAGAAAAACGAAAAAAAAGTAAACCCATCATGTGATGACCCGACCAAACATAGACTGAAACACACAACTGATTTCTGAGTTTTGCTCATAGACTGAATGCCTTGCTGAGTTTCCCACTTGCTACTAAGTTCTCTAAATCAGTGTGTATGCATGCTTGCTGGACTGCATGTCTGTCTGAGTGCTGCTTGGCTTGAGTATGTGTGTGGCCCACAAGCGCACTTGTCCGTTCGTTGGGGCCTCATGGCCGGTACTTACCTGTGGCCGTGACATTGAGGGATTGCAGCGGGGGGAAAACACTCAAGTAGCAGGTAGGCCGGTACCGCACCCTGAAGGGGTAGATGTGCGGGTACTGGAGGCCGAGCAGAAGAGGACAAAAGTGGCATTTTGAAGAGGCCCAGTAGTTGTAGGCTAGGTCTAGGCGGGTACCAGTCCAAGCAGTCTGAGTCTAGGGCCTGTACGGGCAATATCAGAGTCTGCAATGATGTTTCCCTCCGAAAGGGAGGAGGTACCGGTTGCTTGGGAAGGCCGGGCGGCCTGGAAGTCACCGCCCAAGAGGCAAGCAGGACGCTATATCTCCAGGCCGGGCGAAGAGCCCAGCCTCATTGTTGGTGTTCAAGTTTGGCAACACACTGGTTGGAGAGCTGGCTGGACCAGCGCTAGCTTGGAGCAAGCGCCGCTGGGGAAGAAGCAAGGACTCGGAGGAGGAAGAAGGACAGGAAGGGGGAGGAGCGCCAGAGGTACTTACCTGGCTATGGTGGCAGCCATCTTCATCACCTTGGTGGGCACTGCAGCAGGAAGGCCCCAGCTGGGGTTGAGCTACACCAAGAAGCTTCGAGGCAGAGTCAGGCATGGCGGCCTGAGCTAGGGCAGCCATAGCTACTTTGGGTTGTCCTTTGGACATCTGGGCAAGGCCTAGTAGTCCGCCATAGCCTCGGCCTATGAGAGTGAAGAGTGCGGGGAGGCGGCCATGGCTATGGTGGACCTCAAGTGATACCTGCAGTAGAAGAGGGATTCAGACTTTGATTCTGGTTCAGCTATCCAACATTGTATTATTAGTTCTTGTGTGAATAAGACAGGAGGAGATAAGGAGGGAGAGAGGGTTGAGCGAAGAAGAACAGCTTGATCATTTGTCTATGCTGGTGTACATCACTCCTTTCTTACTTCTTCTTCTTCTTCTAACCTTCTCTCTCCTCTCAAGTTCATTCATTTCTTTCTGCAATCGGACAGCATTGTATTACCTGATGAGTGTATATCTCAAAATTGGCCAGGATCATAACAACCACCCTTTTCCCTCCTCCTCATCCTCTCCTTCCTCCTCGCACACAAACAAAAAGAAAAACAAAAAGAAAAAAACGAAAAAGACAATCGAGGCATACACAAACAAAGGAAAAATGAAGAAAAAAGAACACTCCTCCTAACCCTCTCGCCTTCCCCCTCCCAGCCCCCCTCTCTCACACACACACAAAAGAAGAAAAACAAAAAAATAAACGAAAAACTTGGAAAAAGACGTTTGAGCCAGAAAAGCGAAAAAAAAAAGAAAACGAAAAAGAGGATTGAGCCACGGGGCTGCACCACGTACCATGCCATTTACCCCCCTCTCCCCTCAAGTCCCCCTAACCCTCCCCACGTGGCGCAGCTTGTGTCTCTTTACCCACTCCCTTCCCTCGAATGTGGCACCTGTCCTCCATTCACCTGATCCCTTCTCCCCGCAATGGCTGCACTTGTCCTGCGTCTATCGGATCTTAAATCCCCAATGACTGCCACACCCATCTTCCTTTTCCCTCATCCTTACTCCCCCACCTCCTCCTCTCCCTTCCATTGGATTTGGATCCCGAGACCTATTCCGCCCTGGTCATCAAGAACCCAATCCCATCATCGCGTCCCGCTGTCATGCCTGTTTGTTTCCCTCTCCACTCCTTCCTGATGTTGCCCTGTCTCTACTCATTTTCCCGATCAGGAGAGAAAAGCGAACCACTATAGCCTGTTTCTCCCATTTACACCTCCTGAAACGGTTTTTCACCTTAGCAGTAGCAGATGCAGATCCCAGGGCTTGATCCATAGATCTTACCACACCCGTGTACAGTATCGCGTCGACCCCTGCGTGTTTGAACCCGTGACCTGTGTTTTGGTACTTGACTGTTGACTGTCGTAGGTCTGTGTAGCTGTAGGGGTTCGATCTGTAGGTCTGTTGAATAGGGGGCACAGCTGTGTAG